GTATACCCGTCAGCTGCCACTAATTAGATTTCAATTAAAGTCCTTTTTAAAATTAATTTTGTTTACCAAATATCATTTTTTCTTTTTTAAATTTAGTTAACTTTTTTTTTAAAAGTATGATGTTCATATTTCATATTTCTAAGTGTCGGTGTTAAAATATAAAAACTAAGGACATGTGTTTGTACAATAGGGCTGGTAAGTAGGTCACTAACAAGTTCTACGGCTCATGCAGGTTTTATTGAGCCGTAGAACTGGTTGGTGACCTACTTACCAGCCCTATTGGACCAGACACGTGTAAACGATCAATGTCGTCATAGCTATTGTGTGAGTGAGGACAGGATTCGAACACAAACCACCGATATGAGTGTGCGAGCTAGATTGAACTCGACCACCAAGGCTCTGCGATTATTTGCACGCGGCAGTAATCGATCTATAACCCGCCCCAAGGGCGATTTTCTGACTAGGTGGATTCGATTACATTCATACTTCATATCGATCATTCAGCTATCGGTTTCAGATAATATGATTACAAACTCTTTTGCAAGATCGATGCAAGAGAATCTACACCGATTGATGCAATCGATTACCAGATATTAAACACGATTATGTTACTGATCTTGTTGCGTCATTGAATCGTGCCTTGTGTTGGTTAAACCTAGGCTGATGCTGTGTGAAGCTGCGCTAAGTTAATATCGGAGTGATATTTTGTATCAAGTGAGAATCTCCCTTAAGACAACTTGTATCATTTGAGAAGCTCCCTTAATATGCCGTCTCATGGTTTAGCTAACTGTTTCACGTGAGAATCTCCCTTAAGCTAATATCTCATGTTATTAGACAACATTTATCACATGAGAAGCTCCCTTAATATGTCGTCTCATGGTTTAGCTAACTGTTTCACGTGAGAATCACCCTTAAGGTAATGTCTCGTGTTATTGGACAACTTGTATCACATGAGAAGACCCCCAAAGGAACTGCTCCATGAATATACACTACAGTAACGGATATTAAGCATAAAGCCTTGCAGTTGTAGTTTCATCATTTTTCTCACAATAATTTTTTAATAAGATATAACAATGCTATAGTGTAGGAAGTTTTCTATTTGCGTACAAAAAGTAATTGTGTAGGAAGTCCTCTATTTGCGTACAAAAAGTAATTGTGTAGGATGTCCTCTATTTGAGAACAAGACTTCGTATTTCGTGTGTGTTTGTGCACTTAATGTCATTAGTATCAAGTTCCTAAAATGTTTTCTGTTTTTAAAAGTTTGTCTTGATGCTCGAGTGCTAATTCAGCCATTATGAGTACCGCACCTGTTTTTAACGTAACAACCCTCCCCGTTCCCACACACAGAGAACTTAATGTGGTCTACCTTTCACCTTGGTCTGTCTAATGTGTGTTGTAGTGCCATGTGGCGGTGTGTGGTGTGGTAGTTTGTGGTGATGTTTGGTAGTGTGTGGTGATGTATGGTGGTGTGTGGTGGTATGTAGTGTGGTAGTTTGTGGTGATGTGTGGTATTGTGTGGTGATATGTGGTTGTATGTGTTGGTGTGTGGTGGTATGTGGTATGTGGTGTGGTAGTTTGTGGTGATGTGTGGTATTGTGTGGTGATATGTGGTTGTATGTGGTGGTGTGTGGTGATGTGTGGTGGTGTGTACTGGTATTATGAGGTGGTGTTTGCTGTGGTGTCGTGTGGTTCGTGTGTGGTGGTGACTGTCATGGTGACAGCAAGGTGGTAGGGGATTTGGGGCGAGAGAGTGGGGTCAGAGGTGGGTGGAGGTGTTAAATCACAGGGGTCAATCAATGGGAGTGAAAGTGCAGAGGTCACCATATCAACATCATCGTCGCCGTCATCGTTGCCGTCATCGTCATTATCATCATCATCACCACCGCCCTCATCACCATCGTCATCGTCGTCATTATCATCATCATCATCATCAACACCTTCATCATCTTTTAATAGGAGTGAAAGTACAGAGTTCACCATATCAACATTATCATCGTCGCCGTCAACGTCGCCGTTCGTCATCGTCATCATCATCATCACCATCATCACGACCACCATCATCATCGTCGTCGTTGTCATTATCATCATCATGCGAGCGCCATTTCCTCCTGTCTCTAGCTGTAACCACTGTCTGTTGAATTGTCGATCCATATATCAATCAACTAATGTTGACCACAAACAGATGGTCAATCTAGAATGGTCATAGCACGAGCTGGTCTTAATATTCCCATTTAAACAAAAACATTCCCATCACACAATCAACTAACAAAGACATAGACAACCGTTTTTTTTTTCAACGAAACACAAAACAAGACTCTTTTTATTGATGAGACTCCGACATGACAAAAGTTTGATTACGTTGAAATGAAAGCAAACGGTCACCCTATTTTGTAAATCTCGAAGATTCGGACCGAGGAAAAAGTTACTATAACGAAATGATAATGTGACGAACCGAGTCTTAAAGTTCTGACGAAATATTTTGTTAAGCTGCCTTTTACACCGGGTGTTTCCTTCGCACGTTTTCAAACTAGGTAATTTCCCCCCTCTTGTCATACCTAGTTTCGAACCCCAGACTCCCACATGAGACACGCGCGTTAGTCCACTCGACCACAGTTAAACACCAAGCTGACGTAATGTCACGACTAATTGCTCTATTTATATACAGCACGTGCCGTCAAATCAAGGTCACGTGTACTCCACACCAAGGTCACGTGTACTCTACATCCAGGCGGCGTGTACTCTATACCAAGGTCACGCTTAGCTTACATCAAGGTCACGTGTACTTTACATCCAGGCGACGTGTACTCTACACCAAGGTCACGTGTACTCTACACTAAGTTCCCGGATTGTGTGCCACTGACCGATCTATAATTAACGACTGTTAATTACCACCGTTAATTATCATTAACTGCAAGGTAGACATTCAACCCTCGACCTATATTTTTTGCTGCTTTAAAATTTGAACAATGAACATAAAGAATATTATTAACCTTAAAATTATTTTTAAAATCGTATGATCGTTTATATTGTTCATATTTGTATGTGTTTTATTACGCATTCAGAGCATATGTCACTGTGACAGTTAATGTATGTCCGATGTCATTCTGACAGACACTGACGTCTAATTGTATTATATCCCGTACTAGAACCCTCCGAATTTTACTAAACATAATTCCTCTTTGTAAATCTCTTGCATGGGACGGAGTGGTCTAGCGATAGAGAGCTGGACTGCTAACCCGTAAGTCTCGAGTTCGAATCCGGGTTCAAGTCAGTAGACTGTTCCTGAGTCCACCCAACTCTGATGGGTACCTAACTCACGATAGGGAAAGTAAAGGCGGCTGTGCATAGTGCTGACCACACTATCTCTTCATCTGCCGAGGTCACAGAAACAAGTGAACTCTACTTCACTTGCCCCATAGACCGGTTTGAAAGGGAAACTTAACTTTTTAAAATCTTTTACATTAAGAGTTTCATTCTACCATAAGGCCATGTTTCTGTGGCTTTAATTCTTGTCTATCATTACTCTCCCCCCCCCCCCCCAACCCCATACTCCATCGAATACTCAGCCCGAGAAATTTCTAATATTTATTCTTTTATTTTTTGTAATATTTTATATCTCCGGATTTTAAAAAAAATCGCATCAAAATGAGAATCGACGATACGTGTTCACGGAAATAAAAAAAAACAAAAAACAAATAAATAATCGCTCTACGATAGACTGATTAGCAGAAAAATAAACACCCACATAAGTGTCAATTAAAAATGCCCCGAGAAGGATTTAAAAAATAAAGCGAAAGCAACAGAAGACAGTAATGAAATAATTAGTAGCTATATGTTATTACAATGTTTGAACGACATTTGTGAAGATATTATCTTAAATGGCGAGAGTAAACAATACACGGTGAAACAAAGCCGCAGGGGAAATAATTCAATGTTTGTTGACATAGACACACACACAGACACTGTCTAGTGACACGCTAGTGGTCTAGAAATGTAACACACACACACACACACACAGACACTGTCTAGTGACACGCTAGTGGTCTAGAAATGTAACACACACATACACACACAGACACACATACAGTGTCTAGTGATACTCTAGTGGTCTAAAAATGTAACTTTTCGTGTTTTCAATCACACACACACACATAGACACACACAGACACGCAGGCACACACACACACACACACATAAATACACACATACACACACTGTCTAGTGATACTTTAGTGGTCTTTTCGTGTTTTCAAAAAAAAATAGTTTGACGTAGGATCCACCCCCCCACACACGCACTCCCCCTCGTGAAAACCAAACCGGCCAAAGGAATGCTATGACTAGGCTACCACAATAGAAATGCCAAGATAGAGGTTTTTTTCGTTCAGGACGTAATGTTTATGCCCCCCCTCCCCCTTAATCAACACGTAAGGTAATCCCCTCCTTCATTAAGTTGTCGCGTAAGACTCCCACCCCCTCTATTAAAACTTAAGATATGCCCCCTCTCCCTCCATTAAAGCAATAGGTAAGGCCCGATCCATCTAAACGTCACGCTAGCCCCCCCCCCCCCCCTACCTTCCCATTAAAACTTAAGACACGACACCCCTGCATTAAAGCATTACTTAAGGGCCACTACATTAAAACATCACCTAGCCCCCCCCTTTCAATTAACAATTTAGGTAAGGGGCCCCCTTCCTTAAAACGTCGAGAAAGCCCCCCCCCCCCCCATTAAAACTTAAGATACGCCACCCCTTTCATTACAACATTAAGGGCCCCTTCTATTAAAACATCAAGTATTCCCCCCTCCCCCTCAATGAAAACATTAGGTAAGGGGCCCCTTCATTAAAATGTCACATAAGCGCACCCCCCCCCCAAACATCAAACAAAAGGAGATTTTTCGTACCTCTATCCTCTTCCCTGAAGTTTATTTTTTTACCTTGTACACTTATGTATTCAAGTTTAATCAAGTAATTAACTAATTAGTTTTCTTGTTTCTCTTACAGGAGTGTCCCACACAAGATGACCATGACCTTTGCTCCACTTCTGCTTCTGATACTGACCATTTCCGGTAGGCATTTTGTTTTAAATTTGTTTTACAATTTGTTTTACAATTTCGTTTTACAATTTGTTTTACAAAGTAGTTTTAAACTGATCTCATTTTGAAAAGTTAAAAAGCACTTTAAATCTCAAGCGTCTCCGCCTGTTCAAAAGTAGGGCAGACGGTGATCACATGACACCTGGCCTGTACCAGATAAAATCGTGACCCCAATCAGCCGCCATTTTGGTGGTCAAACTCTAGCTAAATGCCATGCATGTGACGTGAATTGCTTCATCAATTACAAGTTTAAAATAGGATATATTCGTGCCCGTCTACACGATTTATTCACATCTGTTTTATTTTAATCTGAATTTTAAATTCTGGCGATTAATTAAACTAACGGAGAAGGAGAAAGAGCTTTTTGTAGCGTCTCAAATGTCGTGGGCTCATTAGGAAAAATGAGGAGACGATGATTTAAATTAAAAAGTAAAACTCCCCTTCCAAACCAGACGGTCTATGGGGCAAGTGAAGTAGAGTCCACCTGTTTCTGTGACCTCGGCATATGAAGGGATAGTGTGGTCAGCACTATGCCCAGCCGCCTTTACTTTCCCTAACGTGAAAGGTAGGTACTCATCAGAGCTGGGTGGACTCAGAGACGGTCTACTGACTTGAACCCGGATTCGAACTCGGGTTAGCAGTACAGCTCTCTACCGCTAGACCACTCCCCACCCATTAAGTTAAAGATGTTACAAAAACATTATTTTTAGCTATACCTATCAGAAAGTGAAAACATATCAATGTAGTGTTCTAATGGAGAGTTTATGTTCTTGGAAAGGTAAATTAACATCAAGTGGTTTAATGGACGGGGATCGTTCGATCATAACTTACAGCAGCTGCGGTCTTCACCTACTCATGTGTCGCTTGATCCAAAAAGTCTTTTCAAATATTCCAGAATTTTCTAGTAATAAAATAAAATCTTGTAATTTATGATTAAAAATGGCGTGGATAACGATAAGTTGTTTCAAGAAATTACGGACTCCATCTTGGAGCTTACCCTGACGAAACTACGTGTAGTTAAAAACATACAGGTATCTAAATATAGCTCCATAGTTTCTTTGATAAATGGCAGATTGCCTTTCTGCACTGAGAGATTTTATTTCCATCACAAGACGAACCAGAAATTATAACTGACATTTCACGTTAATCTTTTGTTAATTTAAAAAAAAAATCCTATTTCTGAGAATATACAGTCACCGCACAGACAATGGGTTTCAAGATTTATTTATTTTCCTTAAAGGCTTCGGTTTTTCCTGAAGACAAAGTTTGATAAATGGGAAACTGGATTTTTAAAACAGTTTTTGTGCGTTTAGCAAATTTAACAACTTTTCGATGGCTCTATTAGAATGAGAGGGTGAATATGTTGTCCTTGTCGAATGTTTCAGGTCCACAGATACTATATCTGTTGGTTTCAAATGTATATATCTACAGATACTATAGTTGTGTATTTGTTGGTGTCGAATGTGCTATATCTACAGATACTATAGTTGTGTATCTGTGTCGAATGTGCTATACCTACAGATACAATAGTTGCGTGTCTGTTGTTGTCGAATTTTTAATATCTACAGATACTATACTTGTGTATCTGTAGGTGTAGAAAATTGCAAGGCCTCTAGACCCAATTTACTCGCCCAAAGAGTCGCAGCTACTTCATGTATACTCTTTCTGTTCTTGATTGAGACACGTCATGGGAAACGTCATTAGATACGTCATGAGAAACGTCATTAGATACGTCATGGGTAGGATGGGGGCTAACACGAATAGCTGGAAGGGGAGTTAATTAAATGGAATCGTCTAGAATTTCTGTCTATTTAGAGATCTAAGTAAAAGCGAAATTACTTTTTAGAGGAGTCAAAAAACGAGGAAGTCTGTTTGAGCTAGGTAAAGTTTTAGGTGGGTGTTGGCTGAGACAATGTTAGGTCTCCAGCTTTGATGTTAGAGGTTCATTATAAGGCCCCAGATGTTCATTATTAGGTCCCAGATGTTCATTATAGGGTCCCAGATGTTCATTATAAGGTCCCAGATGTTCATTATAAGGTCCCAGATGTTCATTATAAGGTCCCAGATGTTCATTATAAGGTCCCAGATGTTCATTATAAGGTCCCAGATGTTCATTATAAGGTCCCAGATGTTTATTATAAGGTCCCAGATGTTCATTATAAGGTCCCAGATGTTTATTATAAGGTCCCAGGTGTTCTTTATAAGGTCCCTGATGTTCATTATAAGGTCCCAGATGTTCATTATAAGGTCCCTGATGTTCATTATAAGGTCCCAGTTGTTCATTATAAGGTCCCAGATGTTCATTATCAGGTCCCAGGTGTTCTTTATAAGGTCCCTGATGTTCATTATAAGGTCCCAGATGTTCATTATAAGGTCCCAGATGTTCATTATAAGATCCCAGATGTTCATTATAAGGTCCCAGATGTTCATTATAAGGTCCTAGATGTTCATTATAAGGTCCCGGATGTTCATTATAAGGTCCCGGATGTTCATTATCAGGTCCCAGATGTTCATTATAAGGTCCCGGATGTTCATTATAAGGTCCCAGATGTTTATTATAAGGTCCCAGATGTTCATTATAAGGTCCCAGATGTTTATATTATTTTCTGGTGTATTTCCCTGGTTTACTAATTGTCGAATTATCGTCTTTCCTGTCCGTCTTCTTCTTCCTAATAGTAATTGTTTTCCTTCAATACAATTAAGTTTGACGTGTTCATCTTAAGCGCCATAGCTTGCTTTCATACCTAGATTTGCTTCCATTGTCTTTGTCCAACCAAGAACAGACAACAAGTTAGCAACTAGACAGTTGATTTTAGAGTTATCTCTCCTAGATGAGTTAAAGTACCTAGTTATCAAGCCTCATCTGTCATGGGCCGAACTCCCGACTTTAGGAATAAGCAACTAAGCGCACTCCTACTCAAAGATGCTCTCCCTTGTTCGCCTGAATTCCTAATGTTCAAATTGTCTGAATGATTCACTGTTTGTACTGTCGGATGTTATATAAAGACCGCGTTTAATAAACACTCACTCTCGTACTCATGCATATTAAATCTATGCTCTTAGCGAGATAAAGCCATGCCATTTACCACTGTAAAAACTTCATCACAATTCGATCGTAAAATTAATGTTTAATAAAATGACGAAATGAAGCTATAACTTCTGATTGTTTAGTAAAACGAACAAAGGGGAAAAAACTCGTGTTGACCGATTTAAAACAGCATGGGGGATAACTCTCAAGAAAAAATTCAATAGGTTACTCAAGGTTTGAATCGACCAATCACAAGACTGCTGTGCGCTGTCCGTCTGCTATTGTTGGACACGTGATTTGCTGTCGTCTGCTTGAGACTGGAACAAGACCCCTGCTCTACCCGTGGCAGGTTAGACTGGACATGGCCACCACTAGATCGATGATCGATCGGGCGGGATCGAATTGTGACACCCCACAATCCATCTGGTGACAGGCGCAAGAGTCACACAATAAAAACTTAATCAGGTCTTTAATCACCGGCTTAACCGTTAGTGTATCACACATGACGACATGATATCCAGGTCTCACTCCTTGTTGGGTTCGCGGATTTTGTTAAAACGTGTTGGATAAACTATTATTTCTAGGGATATTCTAAAATATCATACTCAACGTTTTTTTTATATTATTTTAAAATATTAGCATACTCAACGGAATTTTATTATAAGTGCTAGATAAACTATTATTTCTAGAAATATTTCAAAATATTATCATACTCAACTTTTCAAAAATTTAAACGTGTTGGATAAACTATTATTTCTAGGGAAATTTCTAAATTCTTATCATACTCAACGTTTATTTATTGCCGAGTATATAAAACTAAAAAGAAATGATTTATAAAACACGGGGTATAACTTAATGTAACAAATTAGTTTACAAAAAACAATAACATTTAACAACTAGACAAGAGACAACATATCTCTAATATCTCCTGAAGAGATACGTGTACTCTCCACCTAGACCACAACTTAACCCAATCCATGCCCCTAACCTTTACTCTAACCCTACCCAATATTTGCCGCTAAACGTAATTACCTCTAGCTTTAAAGTCTGTCGGTCTGGAATTAGCAACAGACATAAAGTCTGTCAGAAATGAAAAAAAAGACAAACAATATTTCTGTTTGTCCGGGACGGTAATCCAATCCCAGGAGAGACGCCAAACTCCTCAAATATTAAAACTCCTCCCGCGCCCCCTCGTATTTTTCATCCCCACCCCCACACGAAACCTGAGTACGGTCGGGCTACCAGCACTAGGCTACCACCTAGCCACACACACGTAGCCCGAGAAAAAAAAATCTCCCCATCTCGGTGAGAAACGTCCAGCCACCTCCTGATGTTATTGCGTTGGGGACGGCTGAAAAATGAGTCTAAAAATTTTAATAATTGTGTATCATTGGCGAGAAGTGCGTCACTCAAGCGAGGAAAAAAACGGAAGAAATAGCTCGCTTCCGGTTTCCTTCAGCTTTTGGGCTGTTTTTTTTTATACCCAGGGGCAATTTGTTTTTTTCATAATTTGTGTGTGTGTGTGGGGGGGGGGGGGGCTGCAGTTATGTAGCTATTAACTAATACTTTCTAACAGTGCGGTAGCTTTTAGTGTGATACCCACTGGTGTCTTTTGTCCTAAAGTCCTGTTTTCATGTCCTGCAGGACTAATGTCCTGTAGTCCTACAAGTATTTCGCAGTCCTTAGAGTCATGTTGTGTAGTGTTGACATTGTATTGACCTGCCACCTGTCTATTATTTTAGTGTGTCTATGCACCATTTAATTATATAGACTAATAATCTGTTAGTTGTATAGTCATTGCGGTTGTCAGTCATATAGTGTATTTACCTGTCAATTACATTGTCTAGACACCTGTCAATAACACATGTTTAGGTGTTACCTGGGTGGTTACGAATACAATACATCCGGATACATCGATTACTTTCCACACGAGCTAGCTTAGTGT